TATGAGATTAAATCAACTGAAGACCCTAACCAATTTGCATTACAGGAAAACATTAAAACCTTACATGAGAAAAATACAGGCCAACAATATTGAAGGGATTAGGTGAAAGGGAGGTATTTGGCAGAAATCTGATACAGAAGATGCGACAATGAGGCAACAGTGGAAAGAATACTGTGGCAGAATCGTAACGACCACTTCTACTGAACTGGTCCAAACCTGTAGAATCCCACCAGATAATAACTTTTATTCTATATATTATAGATCTGAACTCTTTGAAGCAGAAGCTTTAGATATAGTTTTATAAAAACTACACTTTATAAAGACAGTGCATTTTTGCTTTTGGCAGTTCTAAGTACTTATATTAGGCAGTTCCAAACAAAATCAGTTGTTACCAAGTAAAAGTATGTAGAACAGGTTATATATCTCAAAGAATTACCAGTTGTCTGCTTGCAGTTTTATGTTAGAATTATTCTTAACCTGCTAAACTGCATGTGACTTCTTGACTCTGACAAAGCCTTACAACTGAGTAAATCAACCCTTCATCATGTTTACACTTTTTATAAGACTAGAACTAAGGCTACGGGAAGGGATATGCCTTTATATTGTCTTCTATTAGCGTATATACTGTGTGCATTCATATATTGAGAGTAGCTTAGTGAGCGGAATGCAAGTAATAACATTTCCCCCTTTCTTGTAACCTCTGCCCATGAAATAAGAACTTGGAAATGTATGGCTAGAGCTCAATAAGCTTCAGTGTGCAATTCTATCTCTGTGGACTGGCGTTAACCCGGTCCTAGAGCATCATATTCAACTTAATATAGAAACTCCCGTCATCAACACTGTGTCAGCATTTCCAGAGTACAGACCTAGCATTCTGCTATTGCTAACTTGGGCAAATTAATCAAATTTCATTTTAGTGTTAAATAGAGAAAGATGCTGATCTACCTACAGGAAACATTTCCTTCCAAGGGGAGGAAGAAGACAAACGGGAAAGTCAAATGCTACCAATGTGCTGAGGATGCCAGAGGAAAATGTTTCTTGGGTATAATTCTTTTAGAGGGTTGTTGAAGCACTTGGAGGTTTATCTGTGTCCTCAGGGTCACCTGGTTCCTGTAGTCTGCATTTTTTTCTCTAGAAATCCATTCCTACACCCACACCATTCAAAGGGTGTTCATCCCAAATTGTATAGCTAAAAGTCTGTAGAGATTCTCAGTCAACCAGGTCGTGGTTGTCCCAAAGGTGCTTTTTTTCAGGAGGCAACTGGACTTTCTGGTTTTTTTCTTTGAAGACATTTCACTTCTCATCAGGTGACTCTGAGGACACAGATAAACCTTCAAGTGTTTCAACGACCCTCTAAAAGGATGCAAATGACCAGCTGTCTGCAAGGAATATAAATCCTTCCATTCCCCACTATCCTGTCAGAGCCGAAGAAGCTTCTTGGATGAGAAGCAAAACGTCTTCAAAGAAAAAAACAAGAAAGTCCAGTTGCCTCCTAAAAAAGCACCTTTGGGTTTATTGGGTATCACTACAAAGGTCTAAGCCAAATTGGGTTGTGTGTGTGCTAGAGTGCTTTAGTTTTATAGGAAGATGGAGATAACAGGTATGGTTGAAACCTGGTAGAATAAACAGAACCAGTGGGGAAATGCTCTCCTTAGAGACCAATTCTATCTGAAGAATAGGGAACATATAAATAAATATGTGATGATATGTATAAAGCAGTCAGAGGCAGGAAGTAAGCAAAGGATACAACTTAATAGATCTTAACAAAAAACATTTACTGTTATAAAGCTGGTTTAAATATTAACTTACTTTCATCAAATGCTATTGCTGTTCTTTGTCTACATCAAGAGATGTGTGTGTGTGTGTGTGTATCCTTTTTTTAAAAAAAGTCAATATATCTATTTGATATACATGGATATACATTATATGTGTGTGTGTGTATATATATCAAGGAGTTATATTGAAAAACTAAGTCTCTATGTCTGTTTGATTAATATTCTGTACTGAAATGGACATTTTATAAAAATTTCCATGATAAATCCAAATATTGCATTGCCATATGTTACTCGTTACCTGTAAGAGTATCTCTATATATCTCATTTTTAAAGAATCATTATTTTATCAATGGTTGGAAAAGAAAAATGGAAATTAGAAATTAAATATATGAACATAGAAATGTCTATCTATCTATCTATCTATCTATCTATCTATCTATCTATCTATCTATCTATCTATCTATCATCTATCTAATATATGAATATAGAGAAGAAGGAATTAAAAAGTGGAAGGTTACAATGATAAGATATATTATGTATATTAGTTCAAAATAAGAATGTAATTGTTGTTATGGTAAGAAAAAGCGCGTTGGTACTTACCTGATACGCCCGTTCTCTGTGAGCTGTGAAGAGCATCCAGAAGTGGGAGATGCTTCAGTCTCTTCTGGAAAGGCTGGGCTTAAAACTCCGGGACGCTCCTCCTCCTCCACGGGATTCCTCCTCAGCGCCTCCCAGTTTTGCGAAGACTGAGTGCCAAAGTCCAGAACTCATCACCTAATCTAGATTCCTGACCGGAACAGAACCCCACCAGACGGAAAGAAATGGGTGGGACTGGATGCTCTTCATAGCTCACAGAGAACGGGCATATCAGGTAAGTACCAACGCCCTTTCTCCCATGAGCTGTTCAGAGCATCCAGAAGTGGGACATACCAAAGCTTGGCCTGTCCTTAGGGAGGGACTCCGTCTGGATCGAAATCCATTCCTAAACTCTATGGACCCTCTGCAGGACTCTTCTGCCAAATGAAGCGTCCGCTGAGGCATAGACATCAACATTATAATTTCTGACAAAGGGTGATGGTGAAGCCCAAGTCGCCGCTCTTCAGATTTCGTCTATGGAAGCCCGAACTTGAAGCCAGCCATTTAAAATGGAGGGAAGGCAGAATCTCCTATGTTAAATGCCTGAGCAGTTTAACGAGCCGCTGCTGCTGACACTCTAAAATGTCAGACAAATGTTCCTGTAAGGAGAAGTGAGCCGCGGCTGCGAGCGTTCCGCCAAGATCGCAAAGATAAGACGATCGGGGAATTAGATAGGCTAATTGCCTGAAGCGGCCGTCTCAGACTGCCTGCGAAGTGGCAGACTCCATCAGAGCTGCTCTCAATTGATCGGGGGGATAACCTAATAGAGCCACAAGCCTTGAAATCGCCAGATTAATAGGGGGAAAAATTTGCAAGCCGAATTAACCCAAGAGCAAACCTGAATCTTGACTAGCTGAATCAGAAACCGTTCCAGTCAGGGAGTGCACAACCTCTTACCACGAAGGCTGAGCTAAAACTGGGGACGCTGAGGAGGTGTCCCATGGAGGAGGAGGAGCGTCCCGGAGTTTTAAGCCCAGCCTTTCCAGAAGAGACTGAAGCACCTCCCACTTCTGGATGCTCTGAACAGCTCATGGGAGAATTGTATTAACCACAAATATTATGCACAAGACATTTGTACCCAGACGATGGAATGTTTGTAAAATAAAATAAAAAAGTTTATACCCCGCCCCCCCAAAAAAAGAGAGAGAGAGAATGGGAGACAGTAATTCATATCCTAATGCCGGGTTCTAAAGCTACCATATCTCTGTCTGTTGTACCCCATAGAGTAGGTTATTGCAGGTTTCAGGTATAAACATAGACATGTCCTCTTTCTTGCAATAATTGTCTTTAGCTGTATTGATGTTAAAGGAGTGTTTTCCCTTAAGCTGAGAACATTTATATACAACCTCAAGGTGAATGAAATCTGTTATGCTTCATCCTTATTACCCCAGAAGCAAAATCAGGTGACCAGCAGGGGGTGAGATTAGAGGGGTGTTAATTGGTCATTTCAGGCTACTTCAAACATGTCCTTCCCAGGCCCTGATCTGTCACATCTGCCACCATTCTACTCTTGATCTCTAAAAAACTGGAGATCCTTTGGGTTTGCCCAAGGCATTATGACTGTTTAGCCAACAATGCCTTAGTACTTTAAGCCTGTAGCTCTTACCAGTTTAGTGCAAAATTAAGTAATGTGAGTATATTTTATTTCTTCCCACCTGGATTCTACTTGCATGCCACCAAATGCCATATTTCTGCCCTTCAAATATGAGAAAAAAAGTTAAGAACTGGTTGGAGAAATTGGCTGAACTGTAAAGGAAACACTCATGCAGAGGTCCAAATACCTTAAAAACTACAATTCTACTCAAGAATTTTGTTCACGATCAGATATTTTATAGCACCTGAAACCCCAGAATATGCTTCTTTGCCTACCATTTGGCAGTTTTGACTAGGTCCTGTTCTCCTTTGGTTGATGACATTTGGGAGTAGGATAAAAATTCCTGACAGGATTTTTATATTATATTATTCAATAGGAACAATAAGAAGCCCAACCTAGGACCTACAAAACAGCCTATGAATATAATTACCAAGAATTGGGTGGGAGGAATATATTAGCTACCCACATATCATTCATGGACTAACATGCTGGCAGTTCATCCATACAGTTTTGGTATAAAAAATAAAGATAATTATTCCTCTAAATTGTTACTCTCATAAAAAGTATTACCTATCTATGGTAACAATCTATGAAACAGGAATATTCAAGCTTAAAAGGTTTTTAATGTAAATATTTAAATTACATATAAGTGGTATCCTAACATGGTGCTGCCATGCACAATCTCCCTTTGTGTAGAAAAGATACTGGCAGAGCCAAGAGGAGGAGTTAAATGAAGTATCAGTTTAGAATCATTAGATAGCCACAAAAGAACAAAGTCCAACCCCTCTTGAGCACAGTTGATCCTTATGTAGTCCAGGTGCAAGCCGTTAGTCTGAAAATATTTCTGTGCATAGGCTTTAACAATAAACCAATAATCTAGAACCTTCACGTGTGGACTTGTTTATTTGTGCATAACACCCTGACAACTTCTGGGCTATCTGCCCCACCTTTTAAATGTATTTTACATTCAATTATTGAAAGGAGAGAATACTTACATTATCATTGCTTCCTTTGTTGTCCTCGTATTTGGTCTCTATGTGAATGGAGAACTTGGGCAAAAATGAGCACTGCAAAGAAAACATATAACATATAATGCAACAATTATACCCATTAACAGTTTCATGATGTCCTTTCTCCATTACAGTAACCAGGCTATAGTTTCTACTTGCCTCAAATTGGGGAGAATTAGCCTGATATTTATAAGTGCAAAATCTCTATAAAGACATAGGAAAAAAAATAATTCACAAGTTCAACAGTCTCAATGTTCTCCATTAATTGTTCAGTCCATGGAGTTTCCTAAATTTTGCTGGCAAGTTACACTTTCATCAGAACTGAAGTATTAGTTTTATGTGAAGATAGTCATGCTGCACTTGCAAAGTAAGCAATAAAAGGAAACCAATTTCTAGAGAAAACAAACATTGAGAAGAAAAGCAGAAGAGCAGATGTAAGAGGCATATGAACTGAAGGAAGTTGAATATTTTTGCCACTCATCATATTTTAATTGCTCAATTATCCAAATTATTTTTCCTGCCATAGAATTCTTAATGTATACTTGGAGATGTTTTTCATTGATGTAACAATTTCCAGATTTATGACAAATAAATCTGGATAGCATCACCATCCCTGTAAGACAGGGCTCTCCAAACTTGGCAACTTCAAGACTTGTGGACTTCAACTCACAGAATTCCCCAGCTGACAAATTCTGGGAATTGAAATCTATAAGTCATAAAGGGGCCATAGTTTCCCACCCCCGCTGTAAGATGTCAATCTACTATCTACATGTCCCTCTGCATAAAGAAGCTCCACAAATGGACTTTATGTGACATGTCTTCATGGCATTGCCATTGTCTCATCCCCAGTCTACAGAGGAAGAAACCTCACAAGGAGTCTTTCTTCCACCACACAGAATTTGGGTCATGGCCACAATCTAGGACACAATTGACAGTGCTTGAGGCTGCAATACACACATTTCTTATGCACCCCTTTAATCTGCTATGGGAAAGACTTTTCCTCTAGTTACTGGGCACTGAACTCCATAGCCATGTTGGCTTGAGCTGCAGAAATGACCAGTCATCACCTTCCATACTGGAATCTATTCATGTGAGTTCCAGATAGCACTTTTCTTAGCATTTGTCAGATCTTATACACAGGTAGTCCTCGACTTACAACCATGAGTTTAGTAACCATTCAAAGTTACAACAGCACTGAAAAAGTGACTTATAGCTATGTTTCACACTTATGACCACTACAAGAATCCCCATGGTTGTGTGATCAGAATTCAGGCACTTGGCAACTGGCATGTAATTATGACAGTTGCATTCTCCCGTGGTCACGTGATCACCATTGGTAACCCTCCCAGCCAGCTTTTGGCAAGCAAAGTCAATGGGGAAAGCCAGATTTGCTTGATGACCGTATGACTCACAACTGCAGTGATCCGCTTAACAACTATGGCGAAAAGGTCATAAAATGAGGCAAAATTAATTTAACCCTTGTCTTGCTTAGCTATGGAAATGTTGGGCTCCATTGTGGTAATCAATCAAGGCCTATCGGAAATCTCTTTATAATCACGGGTTCTAAAATCTCTTCAGATGTGCTAGATGTGTTTTTTGAACAAGGGTTTAAAGATTGTTCAAGTATTGTGCTGCACTGGAATGACTGATGCCAGGAAACAGATCTGGGTTCTAATTGCTGTGTACCCGGTGAGGGTACTGTAAATGTTCTGTTGCTTTGGGTGGCAAAGGTTTTGACATGACAGTGGTTTTTACTGGGGCAGACACTGGCACTCACAGCAAACCTCAGAATAAGTAGTACATTCAGCTGCATGGAGATATTCCTGTTAATGTAAATAATTGCAGTATTTCATCCATATGTCTGTGCTTCAGGACAAAAGAACAATTTACCAGAATAACACAAAGTTGTCTGTTGAAAGAGCCTGCTCTTTGGAGGCCAGAGCCTAGCTCTTTCATCTCTTGGACAACTCCAAAAACATTTGGGGTTGTTATGATGCAGAGGAGAGATGGTGGGTGAAGTGATAGGGAGTGACCCTGGTGCTTTTATTAAGCCTCCCTTCATCCTTCTGACATTAGCTGGACTGTTTTGGGGCAGGTGTTTGGTGCTCCCTCCAAAGAGCGCTATGCTCATATTGCTAGAATTAGCTAAGATTACAATGCAAGTACTTGGAGATTCATCTTGTGCATCCATTGTAGTTTAGAAAAGGTATTAATGATTGCAACATACAGAATGGTATCTTAATGACAACATATTAATTCATACAGGAAATCAGATACAAAAGGTATCTTAATGACAACATATTAATTCATACAGGAAATCAGATACAAATGCAGAAAATTAATGTTGCAAGTATATTGAAATTTAAAACATGATTCCTTCTTCTTTCACTTCCCTTGGGCATACACTTCTCAAGTACTAAAGTGGCATTTTTGTTACCACATATGGCATATAAAGGAATACACAGAGCATATTCTCTAATTTCCTATTTAACATTTCTAGAAGTGGCCAGGTGCTGCTCTACAGATAAATAATAATCAAAATAATATTTGTAAGAGATTTAGAAACCCCACAATACTTTGCCACAAACTGAAGCAGGCAACAGAGAGAAAGGGCGTTGGTACTTACCTGACACGCCCGTTCTCTTTGAGCTGTGAAAAGCTTCCAGTAGTGGGAGGTGCTTCAGTCTCTGCTTGTCTAGGCTGGGCTTAATTTGTGGAACGCTCTTCCTCCTCCACGGGACTCCTCCCCAGCGTTAACCAGTTTTGGGGAAGATGAGACAAATAAACACCCTTGACCTCAATGCCCTAACAATTCATTGGCTGAAACAGGACCTCACCAGACGGAAAAAGGGTGGGGCTGGATGCTCTTCACAGCTCAAAGAGAATGGGTGTATCAGGTAAGTACCAACGCCTTTTCTCCCATGAGTTGTTCAGAGCATCCAGCAGTGGGACATACCAAAGCTTGGCCTGTCCTACGGGAGGGACTCCGTCTGGTTTGGACTCCCCTCCTGGTCCCTGTGGACCCGTTGCAGAAGTCTTCTGCCAAAGGAGGCCTCAGCAGATGCAAACACATCTATTTTATAATGCCTAATGAAGGGCGATGGAGAGGCCCAGGTTGCGGCTCGACAAATTTCAGTTATTGGTGCTTCCGTGGGTAAGGCTGTGAGGGTTAAGCCAACAATAATGCACGGATGGCCTTGAATCTAATAAGAAAACAAGGTGTAATAATTCCTTAGGTTATCTCGAAGAGAAACCTCTGATCGGGAAGGAAAACTACCTCACACAGCTTGAGTTACAAATAGCATGGCCACGTGGTCTTTAAAACAAATGCAAAACAATGGCTGTTGCTTTTGGCGCGCGTGTGCTTCCCAGCAGCAAACTCCCGCTGTGTGGAGAAAATGCCTCTGATGGCTTCTCCTTGTGGCTAAAAAACGGCTGGGAAAGGGGTGGAAAGAATTAAGCTTTTATGCTTTCCACACCAAGACGGCGTTCTGAGGGGAAAAAAATCAAATGATATGACTCGGAAGAGGGCAAGAATGCCCACGCCACAATTGCTGATGTAGAAAAAGGCAATGCGGAATCACAATGGCAGGGGGTAGAACAAGCAGTTGAGGGGGTGCTCAGAGCAATGTTGAAGCCGCCCGCCGCTTCGGGGCATGAAACAGCGCTGCCCGAAAATGCAAACGATCTCCGACAGCCAGATGGAGAGAGCTAATGTCGGGGGATCGTAATGTGATTTGGAGGCTAAAAGCCTGGAAAAACAAACAAACCTGACTATTTCCAAACCTGCTGAATAATTCTCCTGGTTTCGGCCAAGGAAGAACAAAAAGCACTGCCTATCCTCAACGAGGCTGAGCCAAAACTGGGGAACGCTGGGGAGGAGTCCCGTGGAGGAGGAGCATTCCACAAATTAAGCCCAGCCTAGACATGCAGAGACTGAAGCACCTTCCACTACTGGATGGTCTGAACAGCTCATGGGAGAATCTCATTCTAAGCGTCCAGTTTGTCAAATTGTTGAGAAACATGGGGGTGGGGGGGCACCTATTAAATGCTAACAATTTCCTAAGCCAACATTACTCAGCCTCCTCTATTTGGGTTTTCGCCACAAAATCAATTTGTTCCACATGCGATTATGTAGAAATTTTTCAGCATATTTGAAAACTGGTGTCATACCCTACCTATTTTAAACTATAAACACATCCCCTCTTAGTACTCATCCCCTCTGACGATTCTCTTTCCAATCTATCTGAATGTATGAGGTCCAAAATGTGTGCTTTTGTCACTGTGGAACAGAAAGCAACTCTTTGGTTTGAAAACTCTTCTTTTCTTGATGGAATCTAAAACTTGCTGACTCACAGCTTGGCATCATTTGTTTTTATTCCTAGGAGAAAAACAATGCATTTTTCTTTGATGAATTTTATACTGATATGATCCTCTCTATTTGTAAATCATTTCTTTCTTCTAAAGTATTAGCTAGTAGTGTATTACTAAGTTACCCTGACAAAATACTATCTGTTTGCCTTCATTTTGCCTTTGGGGAAAATATTAGTGATATTTATTTAGAAATGTATACATCTGCATAAAATTGCAGCTAAGTTGTCCCAAAAGTGCTTTTCAAAAGGCAACTGGGCTTTCTTTTTCTTTTTTTCCCTTGAAAGCATTCGGCTTCTCATCAGAACTGAATCTCCATAGACATTCCAGATAAGTTCTCAAAATTTCAGCCCTCTCTCAGATTTCTAATAGTAATGGGGAAATGCATACAGACTCTATGCCCATGATTACAAAGGGCTGTGCTTGTTTCCCACCTATCATGTGTCCAGAACTGTTTGTCTTCACATATTTTAATGTAAAACCAGTAGAGAATAGCTTTCAGCATAACACAGTGGTAGCAAATTAAACTCGGACTTAATTAATTGCTTTGTGAGTATTCCCTACTAGGCAAGAGGAAGAAAAGAAAACAGCCATGGAAAGCACATAGTGATAGTCAAGTTTAAATTCACTACAGATGCCTTCTATTAAAAAAGAAAAGAAAAAAGAATCAAGGCTATTTTTAGGAT